CCCTGGGCAGCTGCCCGGCTAGCCCCCCCTCTTAATCCAGCTCTGATCAGCAATGTGCGTCCTCACCAGGAAGGCATATAATGATTGTCCTGGCAGGGTAGGGCATTGTGGGACATTTCCTGCAAGCCAAAAATAATGGATGTAAGCAATGCAGCATCTAAATGACACTACGTTGACCTAATTATATCAACCTTACATCTACACTGCTCCTGGAGGTAGAATTATTGAGTCAGCATTACAGGGCAGTTAGATCAGTGGGAGGAAAATTTAAGAGTAGACACTTGCATAGTTAAGTCAATATTCACTTACTCTGTAGTATAGACCAAATCTTAGCCTCAGCCCACAGTCAGCTTCTCCTATGGGTTTGCCCTATGGCCCATTGCTTTGGACAGTGCCTTCTATAGTTTTCAGCTCTCTTGCTGCATAAATGGAGTTAGTTGCTCCTTCCATGAAGCCCGAAAGAAGAGCGCTTAGCATATCTATCAGTGTTCACCACTTTGGGGAATTATATAGTTTCAGTTTCAAAAGCCAGCTGAAGACAAAAGCTGATTGCTTCCCATTGCTTAAACAAGACTTTCCCCCAGGATGGGAACCCTTTTTTGGCATTCTCCATTCCCATGGAAAAATACCAGGTTCAAAATGTATTTCAGTACCAGGTGGTATGGTCACATGTTTTTCTAGGACCAATCATCGTTTGGGCTTACAGGCCAAACAAGGCTATTCACAGGTTATGAAGTTGATTACTGAATCATTAGGTTTCCAGAGTATCAGTGATGGCTGCCTTTAACACATTTAGAACTATAAACAGATCCACACTTTGTATTTTTAACGTCACACACAAGAATGATACATGCACCACAATAGGATATATACATTCAGCAGATTGTAACATGAAAATTATTAGGTTACATGAGGTATTTTGCCTTAAGCATTTTCGAGGTATGCATATTTATACTCACAAGTCAATTCTCATAAAGCATGAGCAGGGGCATCATAAAATGATTGCTGGAGAATTTCAGCTAAAAAGTTAAGTTTCCAGCTCTCACATGGCTGCAAAGAAAGCTTGTAATTGTCACGAGTGCACCCTAATGACTCAAAAGCCACAGGGCCAAGAGCAGAAGCTTGCACAGCTGGCAAGTTTTTGAACTGGAAGCTAAACATGAAATAACAGACTCATGCTGTAAGGGGCAGACAGGCATAACTGGTTCTGTCTCACAAGCTACTGTGCACTCTAGGCCCAGGCCAGTTGAAAGCCACTGGCTTAGGACTCTACAGGCACATCTACACAGCACCATTATTTTGGAATAATGTCAAGCTGGAGGCCTTCTTACTCTGATTCCTGTAACCCTCATTTTACAAGGAGTACGGAAGTCGAAAGAAGTGTGTTCTTGCTTCGACTTCCTGCTGTGTATACAGCACCAAAAGCTGAATTAAGCTATATCGACTTCAGCTATGCAATTGATGTAGCTGAAGTTGCATATCTCAATTCGATTTTTGCCGTGCTGTGTAGACATGTCGTACTGTGCTTCTTCAGCAGATACAGGGATTCAGAGCAGAGATTCTCTGACAGGAAACACTTCCTATGTGCACCTTGTCATGCAGAGTAACAGTTGGGAACATTCCTTCTAATTTGCAATAAGTGATGTTTCACTGCCCTGTACATTAGTGCAACTGTATTTCAATTTCCTCATCCCTTAAAAAGCATTTCTATTGTGCCGCTTTCTTGTGTCTATACAGCTTAGTCTATGAAAAAAATAAGCTTGCATTTCAGCTATCCTGTCCTAACCAACATTGCTCCATCTACTTCCCTAGTAGTTGTTTCAACCCCTTATTATGTCTTGTAATGCTAGACTGAAAGCTCTTTGGGGGAGAGGCTGTGGCTCGCTAGGAGTCTGTCTACACAGAAAAGAAAAAATCTGCAGCTGGCCCATATCAGGGCTGTTTTGCTGCTGTGTAAACTTTGGGGATTGGTCTGGAGCCCGGTCTCTGGACTCTCCCACCTCAAATAGTTTGGACTTAAATGCAACTGGTGTCCAGAGCAGAACTCTGATAAATATTTTCAAACCTGTTGGGCTGAAGCCCTGGGTCCCAGCGTGCCCTGTGGGGCTACAGTCCTGAGCCTCAGCACCTCTGACAGGGCAAAAGCCCCAGCTCCCAGCACTGCCCATTGGGCCGAAGTCTCAAGCTTTGGTGTGCACGAAACTGAAGCCCTGAATTCTGTTGCCTCCCTTGGGGCTCGTTTCCTGTCCATGGAAGGCAACAGGGTGTGGGAGGGAGTCGATGAGGCGACTGCTGCTGACTCCTCAGCCACGCTTTCTGGCAACATCCATGCTGCACAGAGGTGGCCACCATCATCTGCATGGGTGGCAGGTGAACCCCAGGCTCAGGGAGACTTGCCCCTGCCTGTTCTGCCCAAGGTCCCACACCTTCTTTCTGAAGCCTAGCAGCCCCCCTCCCAATGCTGGCAGCCCCCCCCCAAGACCTGGGCCACTGTCCCCCACACCCAGTGAAATAAGTTGCCAGTGTAGCTCCCCACTCCAACCCCAGAGCACCAGGCAGGTGAGTAGAAGGCCATGCTCTTAAGTGTTGGATAGTGGGAGCATGCTCCACCCCCCAACATGCCAAGTGGGCGGGTGGTGCGAGGCTTTCCCCAGTCCAGTACACAGGCCAGCCTTCATTAATCCCAGCCTGGGCCCCCAGCCATAGGGGGAAAAGTTCCCCACAGCTAGGGCTGGATTAAGACCTTTAGAGACCCTAAGCACTGAAAAGATTATGGTGCCTCCCCCTATGTAATTCAAAAGAAATACTATACCGTACAATAAAATTTTATTTTTTGAAATGACACAAAACTTACATGTATGTTGAAATTAAAATGTCCACTTCCATACACAATAGGGAAAGTGAATCAAGTCTGTCCTGACACATTGTTGTTCTCTGAGGGTTTTTTATTCTTTTCAGCTGAGAAAAAGAGCGTTCTGTGGAGTTCTGATTTTTCCCATGAGGACTACTTCGATGCTTTTTTTGAAATATCAACTTTAAAAAAAAAATCTCATTTTTTTTTGGTGCCCCTGCTTTGCTGGTGCCTAAACAAGTGCTTTGTCCGACTACTGGGTAATCCAGCTTTCCCCACAGCAGTGAGAAGTGACAAGGGGCCTGGGTGCAGAACATGTCCAGGGCCTCACAAGGCTATTTGGGGAGGCTCCACCTTTCCCTGCCTTCAGTACCCACCACATATAATCAGATGGTAAAAGAAGTAGCTGTGTCTTGCTACCCCGCCCTTTATATTGTCCCTTTCCCAGTATCACGAGGTGTGAATTGTGTATTGCTGTTACCACTCAAGAAAGAGATATTGGAGTCTCTGTGGATAGTTCTATGAAAACCTCCACTCGGTATGCAAAAAAAAAAAACCCCCACCCCCCCCCCCCCCCCCAAAAAAAAACCTAGCAAATATTAGGAACCATCAGGAAAGGTATAGATAATAAGAAAATATATGATACCACTGTATAAATACCTGGTATTCCCACACCTGGAATGCTGGTTATCCTGTTTAAAAAAAGATAGAATTGGAAAAGTACAGAGAGGCAACAAACATGATTAGGGGAATGAAGCAACTTCCCTATGATGAGAGAGTAAAAAGACAGGGATGGGTCAGCTTTGAAAAGAGACAATTACATGGATATAGGATTGAGGGAGAAAATTGTGAATGGTGTGGAGAAAGTAAATAAGGCAGCGCTGTTGATTCCTTCATACAAGAACCAATAGTCACACAATGAATTTAACAGACAACAAGTTTAAAACAGACAAAAGAAAGTTGTTCTTCACACAATATAAAGTCACTCTGTGGAACTTGTTGCCAGGGGGATGCTGCAAAAGCTCAGAGTATAAATGCATTAAGAAAAGTATTAAATAAATCCATGAAGGACAGCTCCATCGACAGCAGATGCAACCCCATGCTCTGGGTGTCCCTCTGCTGCCAGAAGCCGGGACTGGATAAGAGGGGATAGATGACTCCATAATTACCCTGTTCTGCACATTTCCTCTTTAGCATCTTGCAAAATTTGCTACCAACAGACGAGCTACGGCGCCAAATGACCCCAGATCTGGTCTGACCCAGTGCGACCATTATGTTCATGTTCTGTCCCAGGCTATGCTCTGTTAGTGGTTAGTAACACTGGCTCAGCTGGAGTGAATGCAAAGGGAAAGCGAGGCAAAGTGGAGAGACGGGAAGAGGGGAAGGGGCTTCCCAGACCTGGGGCGGTGAGTGGGGAGACTGCCCCCAGGAAGACATGGAAAGTAACTCGCTGGGAGAAGGGGGCTGAGCGCGCCGCTGGGCAGACCGGAGCTAGCGCTGGGTCAGGGAAGAGACGCGTCTGCGCGTGCTGCCGCGGGGCGAGGCGGCCAGG